GCACCTCCTCAATCTTAGCAAGACACTGCACAGAATTAACCTGGCTCAGTAACTACATTTGCCTAATTGCCACACTTACTGTATTCAGCAGAACAGACCTTTAAACAAAAGAGTGCACAATGCAGTTGTCATCTCCACTCCTGCACAGGGCAAGAAACCTAAACAAATGGATGCTTGTTAACTTGAGTGCTTCAGGAATTCCACTTAAACTGGTCTTCATACCTTTGATGCTATAAAAGGACAAGAATGGTCCTGAACCTCAAAGCTGAGTGCTGAGCATCCAACCAACGCTTCTGCATAATCACATATACACCTTCAGGCAGCACAGGCACAGAGCACCGCAGTTTTTCCAAAGTTAGTTTTAAATGGCAACTGAAAATACAACAAATAGCCAAGAAACAGACCAATAAACTACTGTAAACCCACTCACTCAAGGCTATTCTTCAGAGACTGGCACTACAGTTAGGAGCACAAGCACTAGCAGATAGCATGTGCTGATGCCTGAAAGCCTACAAGCAACACCTAATTAGCACCATGTAGCATACAGAGACACATGGTGAAATGGACATAGAAAACTTTCTGTGATATGTCTGGCCATCACCAGCATGCTGGAAAAAAGAAAAAAAAATTCCTCAAAAATAAAAATGCAATCCTTATATATTAAACTGCTAAGAGTCACTGCTTTAACAGTATGATATGCAAGGACTTGCCAGAGAACACATAAGGAAAACATCTGTTTTCAAGTTCCACCTCTAACACTGTCCGCTGACCGATTTGAACACTGAAAGCAAATATATGCAAGTTTAGAGACATGGTTCTAACTGGAAAAGGAGAAGATACAGTTATATGCAAAAAGCAGACCAGACAACGAAGTTTCAGTATCTCTGTAGGAAGTCTGCATTTCTGAGACTGTCACAGAAGAGATGGTCAAAAACTATTGGTTAGTCATGTATGTAGTTATAAGGTTGAGTTATAACACTAAGAAAAGAGATCAGAAAAACAAAGTGCTCAGATCAGGAATGTTGCTAGAACTTCAGTTTTGAGGTGCTTACCGTTTTTAAAAAAAACAAAGGGCAAAGGTGTCCAGTTTCAATCAGTTTAAATACCTGCTGTATGCATAACAACAAGCAAGTTTCATTTACTTTTTTCCCTCCTAATTATATTGGTTTAGCCAAATTCATTCTTATTTGGAAGATAATTCCCCTTGAAGGGACTAACAAACTAAAGCAAAGCAAGTAACATTAATATATTAATAAATGTCCACAGTTCTTCATGTGTAGTTATTGAACAGGCAAAAGGCTGAAATGCCACAACTAAAAAAAGATGTCTTTTTTTTTCTCCAGGGAAAAACAAGATGAATGTTAAATGGGTATCAAGAAGTTCACAATTGTGATGCATAAAAAAGCAGTGTTTAAAACTAAAAACAGAAAACAATTGCAACTGATACAGCTAAGAAGCATAAGACAATGTTTCTAAAACATATTGCTAAGAAAAAAAAAGCCATGATATAAGCTATTAGTAACTGAGGATAGTAAAATCGCTAAGAGGCAGAAAAAACAGTTATATTCAATAAATACTTTGCTCTATATTAGGAAATAGTTAAGATCACCTATCATATAAAGAAAATGAGGTACTCCCCAATGCTTTAACAGTTGTAGAAATGTTTCCTTTATCACGAAAGGAATTTCAGGAGTATTTGTAAAGCAAGTACTAAGGGTAAATACTTGTAAGGGCAAGGCCAGATGATTTGTTCCTAGTAATTCTAGAAGGGGTGGCTGAAGTCTCAAGCAGGCACACTGACAATTTTTCAACACTACTGTAAGTTCCAGTAAGTGACAAGGAGTTAATACTTTGAAGATATAAAGAAAGAATAAACGGGATGACCTAGGCCAGAAAGCTTGACATTCACCTAGTAAATATACAGAAAAAACAGTAAATGGTTAAACTAATAAAACAACAGATAAAATAAATCAGGTTTGTTTACTACCATCAACTATAGGGGAAAATAGCTCACACAGATGAAACCCAAAATGGCAATTCTGGGATTGTAATTAATATTTACAAAAATGAGCCAGTATAATATCCTACACAATTATATGGTACGACTAATTAGCATGATGGTATGAGCACTGTATTAGCGTAATAAAGAATACACAAAGTGAATTAAAACGCAAGATATCATCAAGTTTAGTTTTATTTGTTTTTTAAGGAGAGTGCCTGAAGGGATCAATGCTGTATTTAAAGGCATTTAATATTTTTGGAAGTGAATTGAAAGCGACTCTAAACCTACTTCCTGATCACATTCTGTGTATGAGACAAATATTGACTACAGGGAGTAACAAGCAGAAAAGGCCAAAGAGACTGAAGACAGACTCCCTCAAACAAAGTCGTTGTAATAAAAATCAAATGCAAAGCATAATGGGAGAGTAGGGGGCCATACTTTAAATTGTGGATTAATCTGGTCTGCACGTATTCTTTGTGCAGAATAAGAACGTGATCCACAGGAAGTCAGCATGGAGTAACTATTTAGCAGCAGTGGCTATTCTGCATGAATAATGCCAGATATTTTTTGTTACAAAGATAATCCCCCAAATAAGAACAGTGAGCTAAGCAGCTGTAACAAGACTGCATGTGGTTCTTATTTTTTGTCCAATGCTATTGGATAATAATCAGGCAATGAGGAAAAAAAGGTTGACGATTATAGACAAAACAATACTGGGAAATCCCTAGGTGAGATTAAATAACACTTTTTAAAAGAAATTTGGTATGGATTCTTATAGAGGCTGTATATATGTTGTAAAAGATCAGCCACTAAGGCTTAGATCTTGCTCATCTTCCTGGTCTGATTTACTTCCGGTCACAACAGTCACACCAATGAGATAATGATCAGACCTGATATTCGCAGACCTGATATTTACTTGTCCTGGAAGATAGAAATGCATTATTATTTGGGACTACCACCTCAGCTGCTGTAAAATATCCAGTAGGATTAGACTCTTCTTCCAGAAAAATATGATGGGAAAGAGGCAGACACTAAATGGATCCTGAAGGGGCCTCTTGATAACAGAATGGTATACAGTCACCAATTCAACCTTGGGAAAAAAAAAGGAGACAAATCCAGATGGAGCAGCAAGATTGTCCTTTATTTAGTAATGCGTGCTTTTAATGGGTGCAATGATAGCACCTAATAGCACCGGAGGTGCTAAAGCTGCAACAACTGCAGCTCCAGAGCAGACTGACAGCATCTAAGTTGATGTCTCCTATACCAAAACCCACGTAAAAGTACTGTGAGGGTTGAGGGCTGCCACTTGAAGTGGAAGTGGTCAGAACAGGCACACTCAATTTCTGAGAGTTTATCATCATATTTTTAATTACTTACATGAAACTAGGAAGGAATATTTTGTCTATGCTGACGTTATTTTAACTGGTCCAAAATAATCCACAGCAGCCAAAACTCAGCATTCTAGTTTATTTCTATCTGCACTTTAACTTCAAAACTTTGATATTAAAACACATTTATTCTCCTTTCATATCAACACAGCATCCATAGCCCTTTCTTCTTCTCAAATCAAGCCATGCTTGCTATTCTCCATTCTGACAATCTTCCCTTCATAGCTGCACCCCACTTCTCACTGTCAGCCCTAAAAGACTAATTCTGCAGAGGTGGGAGGGAGAAGTGAAGGGGAAAAGAAAAATCATCTGTCTGTCTCTGTATACACATGAAAAGGAAGTCTTTCAACATGCACTTTGCTGTCAACTTCCAGAGTTTTTGAAAATTTATCCTTACACCACACCAACCCTGTCATTTTCTGACTGGAGTAGAGTGTTCAGAACTGTCTGTAGCAATGCTTTTCACCTAAAGTTTGAGAACAATGTTTACATGTTGTGCCAGTTGATTATCTTAAGTTAACCACACAAATTTTAGAGGTCACTGCAACTCTACAATGAGTTGATTCAGACAGATTTTTTGAGAAAGGACCTTTTGCACAACAGATCGAAAGTTGTTCTGTTGTTCTATTTATTATAGGCCCAATATCCACAAGAAACTCACAGATCTGGGTTCTGCTTATAAACCAGAGAATTACCAGTTTCTATCTATAAACTCACCTTTGGCTGAAACTGGTGTCTTAAAAAAAATTAAGAGAAGTTACACAAAGAAAATTAAGATTTCACAAGTTCTTCTGTAGGATTATAAAGATTCATAAGCCTGTCATAAATGGTCAGAGTGCTGAGGGTTTTCTGTAAATACTAAGAAGAGTATCTGCAGACCTGACTAATGGAAGACTTACTGAAAGGATATAAAATGAATGATAGTTTCATATATCATCTTACAGTCAAGAGAGGGTAATTAAAATACAGTGAAAGAGAATTAAGGTTTGTGTATTCAATCTTGGGTTTATTATACACTATAAACATATGTTCTTAGCTGAAGGTGAACTTTAATGTGAGGACAATTAGTGTTTACATTGGTCCAGTGTTCAGTTTCTAAAACAAGTAACTCACTGAAGTTTCCTATGCTATACTATTTGAAATAACCATTGGCTGACAATGAATACATGAAGCTATTCTTAACCCCATTAAAAAATTCATAGCTTAAAATGCAATCTTGTTAGCAAAAAATTCAGTGACATTAACTTTCATACAGTTTCAACCATACTTTTTTTCCCTTCCAGAGGACTTAAATGCCCACAACAGCACAGGAACTGGCTTGTTGAGACATGTTAAAAAAAAAAAAAAAACCCAAGAAGAACAAAAATCGAACACCACCTAAGAAACATGGAATTAGTACAACTCCTGCTATATTTGTGGCTCCCTGCCTTCCTCATATAACAAAATACATCAGAGAAGTGAACTGCTAAGTAAGAAAAATTCTACATACGCTACTTCAGACTATAAGCTTCTTTGCAAGCAGGCAGCTATTCTTTCAGATGTCATGACATTTATTTGACCTTAAAATTAAAACATGCATTTATTTTTATTATATATTACAGTATACTTACTCTGCCATTACACGTCTGACATTACTGGCATATAATGCTGGATTTTTTCTTTCTTCTTCTGAGGGAATATACACAGGTAGAAACTGCACACAGAAAACTGAATTATTCCAAGAATACTTAACATTTTAAACAACTTGTATTATTGCAGTGCAATTAAAAGGTATATTCAGCCAGTTGCTATTTACAAAATTATATTATCAAGAGAACTACAAAAAAGTAAAAATTGAAATCTTAGCTGCTTAAAAATGCATCATACTTCTGGAAATTGATTTAGTAGTGGCTCTGCTTGTTTCTTACCTTATGGAGCCCAAATAAAGTTTTACCTTGCTTTCATAAATGGAACCAGGAAGTTTTACATGATTTAAAACTACTAGCACTTTCTTGCATTAACCTTTCTCTGATGTCCAAAATAATACTGCATTGTTCGGCTCAGATAACCAAGAAAAGCACCTGCCACATGAGCTTTGTTCTATATCTTAGATTTTTGGAATCCAAATGTTCTCAGGACATCAGGTATTTACTGTTCCTACTACACATTTTGAAACCATATAGAACTGCTTAATGAACACATCAGAAGTATTTTTATTTTCTGTTGCTGGAGGTTTTGCAAATTTTCTCTTTCAAATTGGACATGGGATATTAATATTAAATTGTCAGAAAAATTCTAAACATATGCAGATGGCCACAGGAAATTAAGTCACAACTGATGGAGACCTGCAATAAAAAAAAAAAGGCAGCTTTAAAAAAAGGCAGCTTTCAGAACAGGATGGCCTATGTTAAAAGACCTTCCAGCTTTTGGCTATGATGCTAAGTGTTCATTAAGTTATGATGTAAGCTCCATGATCACTGCCAGACTCGCATATAAAAATCCTCAAAACATACCAGTTCAGCCAAGGAATTAACTTCTCAGATATAGGGAAAGGAAGGGAACACTGATTTTCCCCTGCCCCCACCATTAGCATAGGAAAAAGACCACCTTTTGTAGTGCAACACCGTGAGATAATTTATGCATTAAGTGAGTAAAAACTTTTGCAATTCTCTAGAAAGCATCTTAAGCAGAAAACAGAGTTATAATAAGCTTAGTTATATTTGGTGTAGCTACCTATGGGTAGTACAAACTGGAATTATGATTCAGGAATTTCATACTAGCCTTTGTTTTCCAAGTCTTGCTTTTAAAATATCAAGTTAATTATTTAAGCAAATGCTTTTCAGCAGTATTTTCAGAATCAATAATCATATGATCAGCAGTACCCAAAACACTGCCATTAGATGTTTGTCTAACTGTTTCTTAGAAGTATTCAGTGATGGAGACTCTACAAATCCTCAAATTTATTTTTTCCTACGGTTTTCCCATATGTACCCTGGCAATGGAAAACATACCACTCCTATCTTCTTAGGTTACAAGCAGGCACACCAACCCAACATGATATAATATACAAAAGGATAAAGACTGTGAAGGTAATAGAGATGCAAAGATCATTCGTTCCTATTCTGAGCCCAATTCTATTCTTCCTACTCTGAGCAGCGAATTGTTATCAAGTAACTCATCCATATGCAGGGCAAGTTTGAATACAAGCCAATTCTTAATTTCGGGGGTGTTCCACATATCTGTGCCTAACTGAACAAAAATACCATGATCAGTTCAACAAACTACAAATGTAACAGAGGAACTCTCAGCTACTGAAAACTGTGATGGATGGATGAATGCTGAAGCTGAGAGGCCAACAAAACAAAGAGACCAGAGCCAAAACAAGCTCAGGCATGTGCAGATAACTACATACCTTTCTTCCTTCAAGAGACTGCTCGCATGAAGTACAGGATAGCTGGGGTAATCTTTATGTTAATCTATTATAAAGTCTACATGGATGTATGCTTCTCAATACATACACTGAATGACATGTATGGTATGCCAGAACATGCATTATATGCACAGGAAGCCCAGACTAGCAAGTCTCAGATGCTGTTTGCTTGGCAGTCAGACCTTACTGCCCGTTATCTAGTCGGAAACGTACTAAAATTGTTGTCTTGCTGTATACCTCCCTGAATTGCTGGATCTTCAGCAGTAATTCTGGTATCAAGAATAGTCTGTATTTGCCAGCATGCCTGTGCTGATGGAAGAAAGCAGGAAGAGGAGCCAATGAACTTTGGAGACCAGGGAAAAAACATGACTTTGAACACAGCACAGTTCCTTCTTCCTCCACTGTCCTAAATCTGCAGCGCTTCTTTCCAAAACCAGATTCATCATGTACTTCAAGTGCTCTGCCTCACATTTGCACAGCCTTGCAACAGCTTTGCTCCTCCACTATCTCCCGGTTTTTGCTCTAGTACATGGAGTTTCAGAGAAATGCTGCAGAGAGTTGCTGACTGAGTTTTTGTGTGTGTTTTTATTTTTAATTTTAATTTTAAGATGACCAAAGATCAGAACCTGTCCTTGTGGAAGCTCCGTATAAGCTACCAAGCAGCTACTGCCTCAAAACCAAGAAAGCTCAGCAACACTCACTTCTGCCTGAAGGAGCCCATTTTACTTGTATAAGGCAGAAAGTCATGTTTCTGAGGTAGAGGAAAAATCCTGCCAATCAGCTAGCCTGCCTTATCTCATGCTTGTAGTAGAGGCAGTAGTTCCCTGGCCCTTCGACCTCTCCCATATTTTAACTGATTAAAAGGCATAATGTAATTTGAGATATTTCTTTAAAAAAATAATATAGCCTTGTATTCAAGGTAAAAAGAGCACGCTGATCTTTCCAATGGAATTTATCATGTCAGCAAACGTTAACATTACTCGAGAAATCTGGTATAAAGCAAGGGGAAAAATAAAGTATTATAGTCAGATGCAAAGTGAAAAAGAATCTAAAAGTTACACTCTGTTTAAGCAAGACAGAAGGAACCTTCCTGACAGAATTTCAGGTTAGCATACAAAATTTGAATACAAACTTTTACAGCAGAATTAAATACAGTATTATGTATTCTGATACTGCCCAGAATATACTGGGTTTTGTTTATCTTTTTTCTACTAACCTCAATTTCCACAGAATTGTGAAACTGACACAAAGTAAGCCACAGAATTTCTAACCTAAAAGGAAGAGGGGGGGAAAAAAGAGGGGAGAGAAAGAAAATTTGAGTAAAGTGAAACAGTAGTACTTTATGCTCTGAAGTGTTCAAGTAACATTACAGCCTATAGGTATGATCATATTCTGTTCTCAGATTAAAAGGTTTTCTGAGAGCACTTCTACATGTTATTTTCTGTAAAGTGCAACAAAAACATTTCACACTGAAGTCACATGTTAAAAGATACCCAGCGCAGTGGGAAGACCAACAGTAAAAAAATCACACATGTACCAATATACAAACACTAAGATATGAGTGATACATGCACAGTATGTAAATAAAGAGTAAATCTGTTCCAGGAAAATGCTGTATCAGCATAGGGTTGGCAAGATCACTTCTAACCAGTAAGGTTTTTATCATTGCCTTGGTTTGGAATCAAAATTCATTATACTTCAGAATTCTGCTAAGGAAATGCAGTACATGTGTTTTAGTAGTCAAACACAAAACACTGAAATCAGCTTGACCTTAGAAGGCAGTAAGATTCAAATCCAGGAAAGGATTTTGGAAACTTGAATCCGAGAGCCACATCCGTAGCTACATTTTATATAGTATCTAGGTAGTTACAGCACCCAATAAGCATTTGGGGAGAGCTAGACAAAAATCCTCTTAAATAGAAAGAGCAGTTCCTATGAGTAACACTTTACGCATTTTGCTATGCACTCTTCCTAGGGCTGCAATATGTTT